TTGAAAGACAGGTGAATCTGAAACATAGAAAACTTTGAGCTTAATAAAAAGGCTATTAAATTTTAATGTAGATGAATACTAAAGAGTACTGAGTACTAATGTGAATGCATACTGAATCTTCCTTCAAACTGTTATGAATTTACAACTTTTTTTTCTGTGTATATAAATGCTATTTCTTGTAAGATTACTATAGATTAGTTCCACAGATTTTTTCCTCTTTTGATGTATTCTAAAATATATAACAAATATCACTATGAGGCATTCAACTTGTTTAGTTCTTGTTCACAAGAGCCATGTACGAATCGTGTTAATTCTTTTGGATAGGATGCAAATAAAGAGCTCTCTATCTTTTATGCTTATACCTCACATACTATTGTTTCAGAAAATTATTTCAGAGGTGGGAGGGAAAGAATTTATTAAAAAAAATAAAATTGTTTCTGCTGCATACACAGCAAAACATATGTTAAGAGAGGCAAAATTTCATTTTAAGTGGAATAAAAATAGTTTTCTTTCCTTGCTGAATTTTTAAAGTGCACTTGTGTTACTGTCTCTTTGGCTTCCGTGTGATTTTCTAAGTCAAAATATGAAAATACTTGTCAAATGATGTTTTTAATCATCAAGATTACTAGATCACTGAGAGATATTGTAATTGCATCTGAAAGATTTCAAATTGCTCCTTGAGTTTACAAACTTAGCTCCTTACAATCACAAGTTCAATGGAATTTGAAATGCAGTAATACACGCCAACAGACTTGAGCACAGGAAGCAAGCTATGATAGGAAAACCAAGTAAATCAGTAACGTTGATGTTCCAGATTCTTATTTTTGAATTGTTGACAGTTTGACAGGGCTGATAAATTTAAAATACCTATTTATACATGCACGCACACTCCACAATGAAATTGAAACTTGAAAGACACGTGGATGTTAAGAAATTCAAGATGTTAATAATTCCAACACGGTATGGTAGGCTCCACTATGATTGAGATCTTGATCTTTTATTGGTAGATGTGCTCTTCAGCTGAATCATAAAACCAGCTCCACTGAAAAAGAGAGAACCCTTATTCACAGAAGAAAAATAGGAATGTATGGAAAGGCTACGGCCAACTTTTCAGTACACTTTTCCCTAATTAACTGCTTGTAACACCATACCCAAATGCAAAAACTTAATGAAAAGGCAAGCATGAGACAGGGAAGTTACTCAAGCAAGAGGAGCATCAATCCCTCTATCTAGTCACTTTCCAGGGAAAACACAGCTTTTTAAGTGTATATATTATAGATAATTGTTATATATTCACATACACATTTCTTCATATTTATACTATTTTTTTTATTATTATTTTTTTTTTACCAGAAATAAGACACTAGAAGATATATAAGATGAACTATCAAAAAAAAAGTCTTCCCTGATAAATAAAGGATCTGCTTCCCAAGGTTACTTCTGAAAATTAGTATCTAAACCAAGCATGAAGCATAGCTTCAATGATCTTCTGCATCTCTTCTCTTATTACATTACAATTACCTCAGAGCCAGTCATGAGTCTTTGTTTACTCATTTATGTTCTCTATCCTGAGACCGAAGCAAAACATCACAACTTAACTGGATTACTGATTAGCCACCTTCAGGAACTCAGCTACTTTTGTAAGTTTTTCACTTTAAAGATTAATAAAAATGCTAGAATAGGCCTAGAAATCTGACAGATAAGCAAAGAATGTTTTCCAGCTATGGCTGCTAAGTTGGAAAACAGTTTGATACTAAGACACCTGAAGGTACACATCTAACACTGATGTTTACAAGAGTATCTCGTTCAAGGTTCAGCATTTTATATCAGTGCTACAAAATTTCACTCAGAAGTACTGAGGTGTCTGAAACAATTTTCTTAAGCTCCAAACTCAGGTTACAGTTCTTATTGTCAAGTCTCTTGCCACCATAAAGCATCTGTAATAATTTTACCCTTAGGTTTACTTGGTATTGATCATATTCTATGAAAAAAGAAGCTCAGTGGCCTGGGTTGAAAAGGACCACAATGCTCATCCAGTTCCAACCCCCTGCTGTGTGCAGGGTCACCAACCAGCAGACCAGGCTGCCCAGAGCCACATCCAGCCTGGCCTTGAATGCCTGCAGGGATGGGGCATCCACAGCCTCCTTGGGCAACCTGTTCCAGTGAGTCACTACCCTCATAGAAGTTAACATAGAAGTTATAGAAGTCACCATCATCACAGAATTTACCAATGTGCCATGGCAATATACAATCTCTGAAGTGCACCATGAAAAGATCTAAGATTTATCCCCAAGATGCCCAGTAACTGAATGATGGAAACAGGTAAATCAGTTTAGTCTCATTTTCAAAAAGGAATTAACCCCCAAGAAGTCAAATCAGTATTCTGTATGTCAACAAGTCCTATATTTTCAAGTCTCATTTGCACCTGCATTCAATGCGAGTAATATTATTTTACTGACATTATAAAACAAATAGAAGAACATCTGATTTGTCTAGTATTTTAATTATTTCTGTGTCAATCTCTCTCAAAGCAGACTGTGGCACCATGGGAAAAGAAAGTCAGGGGATTTAAACGTATTTCCTATTAAATTTCAAAGAATATATAAATCTAAATCCTTTATACGTTAAGTATAAGCTGACTTAATTTGCTTTTCTCAGGCCTCAGAAAGTGCCCATCAAGGAAGTATCAGCAATAACTCAGTTTTTCTATTCCCCAGTGTTTTGCCTCACACATCTTTCATGCTCAACAGCTTTCTTAATACAACAGAATAAATGACAAGTAAATGTCAAGTAATACACAAACCAGAACCGTGAATTAGCTTAGTCAAACTAATACAGAGTTTAAAAGATACTGAAGATCTTTCATTTTCATGAGTTTTTGTTATTGTTCTTTTGTTTTTGCTTGTTGAATCTATAAGGATGTTACATTCAGAATCATGGGATGTTATAGTACCCAAGAGGTAACTTTACTAACCAAATTATCTGCAAAAGTAACAAAAAAGAATTACAAAATAAAACAGATGCACAAAGATGAGCTTTTAATAGTTTACCTGGCTTAGATTCAGCAGCATGGGAAACGAAGAATCTAGTGGCTCACTGAGAGTTCTTGCCTGAAATACAAATTGAATTTCTCTCCAGATCCACCATTTAATGTTTTCCAGCCATCCATTCTGCCATTTGAATGGAATCTCCAAGCCAGGCACAGTGCACAAGAGACACAAACCTAATTTGTGACAAGACTAGAATAGACTTCTCACTAAAGGACAGTTACTCTACAGTTAGCTCTCCTTCCATCATATTGTACATACCACCAAGATGGAACTTCATACAAAGTATTTTGCCTATGAAACAAAAACTTGACAAATACCATAACTTTTTACTGTTTTCCCCTCCTGCTTCTCTATTAGAAGGAATGGTTAATTTACCTAAGAATTGAAGGTTACGAGTTCATGATTTAAACACCACAGTATCTCACACCAAGAGCCACTCAATTATGGGGGGCCATGCTAACCCCATTCCTAAGGTCACCAAGTCTTTCTTCTGTCACCAGATTGGAGAAGTGAAAGAGCAAACAATTCTCTCCTTACAGACAAAAGAGCATAATGACCTACATAACTTACCCAAGGCTGTATTTTCCTCTAGAGCAGAGGAATCATTTCCACCTCACACTCTAATATCATCACTTAATCACCTTATGCTGAAAATGGAAATCTTTGCAGGCTGAGCATTTTCAGGGCCAGAAGTGTACTAATAGCAAAATTAAGTATATATATAATATATATAATACTGTAAAGAGAAAGAAAACATACGATGTACACAATAGATACCCTGTAAGGGAAAACAAGCAACCAATGACCGAAAAGAGAATTACAAAACTATAACAAACATATAAATGTTGGGTGCTTTAACCAAGACTGAAGATTAAATACATCGCCAAATTTACATATCCAAAGCCAAATAAAGGTCATTAAATGAATACAGGTAATGATATTATCCTTTTCAGGAAATCTTACTTACATCACTTCTTCCAGAAACAGACCTCAGTGGAAAGTTAGTCTGAAATTAGGTAGCAGATTGTTCTCAATATCAAGAAATCTCCATGTTTTTCCTTTCCTACTTTTCACAGCACTTAGCAGCCAAAGGTTTCTTGTTCAGAACATGATGCAAATCGTAGCGTTTGAGACTTACTAGACACAAATGTAGATACTCCATAATCATCAGCACTCCCTATAGTAATTTTCAGCATTATTTTATGCCTGTGTAAACTGTACTCAGATTACTCCTCAGGCAGGCACAGAAAAGCCAGAGAGAAGACATTCCATTTCCCAGTTCAGAGGTAGAATATTTGACTGCTCCCTGATGCTGGCTCTGCATACAGGTGTCTGAGTCTGTGCCAATGGCAGGCATTAAGCACTATTACTCTTTTTTAGACTTCAGAAATCACACTGAAAATTCTAATGAAGTATTTTTGTTTAATCATTACCTGGAAAATGTGTCAGACTCACAGACAAGCCAACAATAATACTCTTCCATAGTAACCAAAGATTTAATTTACAGCAAATGAGTACTACTCTGCATCACCATTCAATAATGTTAAACACACTCAAGTGACTGACATTAAAAAAAAAACAAAAACCATTATTTGTTCTTTCCAAAATCATATATTCACCCTGAGTGGTATGCTTACAGTAATAATTGATTTGCCATATCATCCTTGGCAGGGTCTTCCAGATGAAGACCATGTTCACTTATTATCCCAGTAAACTCTACAACCAACTGTTCTAGGCATGCTCAACAATCCTCGTTACTTTCAAGGCAGATTACATACATCACTAAATTTACTAAACAAAAATAACTGACTATACCTTTAACTTGCAAAGTAATAAAAAAAACAGAAGCTGAAAATAGCTAAATATTACCTACAAAAAAAAAGAAAAAGAAATTATAGTTTTCATCTATGTCACACTATTATTCATACTGTTATGAGTACCCAGCAGGATTTGAAAGGTCTTCCCTCTGGCAAACATCCCTGAATTAGAGAATACTTGTTAAAAAATAATTCTCTTTTTTGTTTAAAATAAAACATTTTAGGTACTGTTATTCATTACACCATTCTCAAAATAAATCGCACAGTACAAAATGTTTTACCCCCTAAGAGAAAATGACAGCAACTGAGACTTTCATTAGCATTAGTTCCCAAACAACTAATAAAGAAACAATTCTTCAAATCAGCTTACATCCAGTGAAATAGCAGTCATTATCTTCCACAGCAAGTCCAACTTTCAGCACAGCATGGATGTTTTAGATATAAGTATCTGCAGGATAATGAAACAGTACAGATGAAAAGCCAGCTTTCCTAAACACCAGATATTCAGGTTGGACTACTCATGCCTTTTAGTATTTATGGACAGAAGTCTCTAGTAAGAGGACAGAATGCCAGAAGAACAATTGTAGCAAGAACAACTTAGGTTGAAAGGGCCATCTCAGTAGCCTCTGATTCAGCTCTTTGCTGCAAGGGAGGCTGCATTGGACACTTGCCCAAAGCCAGCTTGTGAAGACCTCTTGGAATGTCATCCACCTCTCTGAGCAACCAATGGCAGTGAGCTCTCCCCCAACCCCCAGCACCTTTCAATACTTTCCTTCAAAGAATTTGTTGGTTTTTTTTCCCTTTGCTCCTCCAGCAAAAGCCTGACCCTTTTCCACCAGCTCTTGATCAAACTGGATTTAACAGCCAGCAAAACACCGATGTTGATTTCCAACTTAAAGAGCAATGTCATCAGCTATGTGATTTCATTTCTCATTTTCCCATGTTACCATAGTTACAGTCATTTATACAGTACAGTCGTTTACCACACCCATACTCATATTTATAAATCTCAACCTTTTCAGTAATTGCATCCAACTTCCTCCCTAAGCCTCTGCTTTTTCTTGACTCTCTGCTTTACTGCTCTTCATTCAATCCATGCTTTAAGCCTTTTCTACAAAGTGAAGCCCACGAAGAAACATTAAACCCTGTGAAGGAATAACAAAAAATGTACAGAAGTGGCACAACTCTATTGCAGCTAAATCTGAACAGGTATTAGAACAGAAAACAAAACTACTGGACTGCTAAAAATCATTACTTAATGACTTGTATCCGACCCCTCACAGCCCAAAGCCCAACAGTCACTGAGCTACTGACTACTTTCAGCACCTAATGAAACTCTGCCCAAGACTAAAAACTTCTCTGATGTTGACAATGCTCCACTCACCTTTCAGAAGGAGAAGCTACAAAACAAAACTGCAAAAAAAAAAAAAAACCAAAACATAAACTTCCCAACTAACTTACTGAATGAAAACAAACCACAGTGAGTTCCTAATAGGCATCAGGACTGGATGCCATCAATAGCCAGAAGGAAAACATTTTAAACCTTTCTGTCTTCGTGTGTCTGTAATAGAAATATTAAATGTAGTAGCATACAAGCATTACAGCTTTATAGAAAAGAAAAAAAAAAAAAAAGATTTGGTTAGATACAAAAAAGTATTTCATCCTATTTCATTATATATTTCAAACTCAGCAACACTACCTGGCTCTCAAATAATTTTATCACAACAAACTAAAGTGAACTCCAAGCAAAGGTCCTGCAGTGTGACAGAACACCCATAAAATTTGTTTCAACAAAAACTACACATGCATACACAAAAATACTACTGCAGATGATACCCAAGCATTAAAAACTGAGCTTAAACCATAACAAAGCTCTATTACACTGTGTAACCTATTTATACATGCATGTATTTTTGCATGCAAAATCTTTTTGAGAAACGGGATAAACTTCATGTAACTGAAATCTGAGCAGCTTAAATTCTTAGTCCAAATCAAATTACTGCAGAAAAAAAATAAAGAAATGAACAGTACTATGTGTTAAAAAAATCTTAATAGTAGTAATAATTAATATTAATGCACATATACTTTCTACTGTCTCACTCCTTTTCCTGACCTTACATTTCCTCAACTGCTTCATTAGCTCTTAAGGCTCACAGATGGTTTTGGCCAATGGTATAGAGCAAGTCGTCAACATCCCAAGACTAAATATGATGATGAAGGCTTCTTCAATTTACCATCCACTTGGAATCACTTCCAAATTTGCTCACACAGTTGTAACACATTGTTCTTTTCTCATCTGTCTGCACATACACAAAGATGTAATTTTGCTTTACGTGGTGCATTTCCTGTTATATTTGTTTGTTCTCTTCCAAACTGATTTTGTCCAGAGCCAAGAGCGTACTGCCTCAAGAGCAGTTTGCAATCCATGGCCTTCCACTGCCAGCCTGTGCTCTCTATTGATACCTTATGTACTCCTCAATACTGCATTCTGCAAGACCACATCTCAAGGCCCCTCCCAGAACACCAGCACTGTACTCCATTAGTATAAATACCCCATTCTACCCAAAATAAATACTTGTTGCTACTAGCTACACTAAAACTATGTGATACAGTACAATTAAGAGTACACAAAACATTATTTCTATCCATTAACAATTTGCTTTTACAGCTAAACAAAGTAAAAAGAAAACTCCAGCTGAGTTAATTCAATCTCAAATAAACCAAACCTGATGTAACCTGCAGCTATATTGAGAACTGAATACAAGGCTTAACACCCATCGCTCCTAACAGCAATTCAACTTAGACAGAAATTCACCTCCTCCATCCCTCACAAAATGTATGCATTTACAATAAATAAAACAAAAAAAAACTGCAAGAGCAAAACTACCAAATGTTCTGAAACAGAATTTGGTGCTGCTGTATATATAGATCTTTCTTTCTGTTTACTATCAATCATGTATGAGATCTATGCAGCCTTCCCAGTTGAAGGCCTATGAAACAAATTTTAGAGAACCGATTTCAGTGTATAAAAGAAATTATGAATTAGAATTAAATTCCATATTTAACAGCCTCTTTACATGACAGTACCTCATCTACATGTTCAGGTTTTGCTTCATTCTTATTTGAAATTAGAGATAAAATACAATACCTGCAGAGCTTAATTAGCCTTTAAATATTTATCCAAAGAACCTAATGAGGCCAGTGAGTCTGAGAATAACAAATACTCGCTGCACAAGTCTAAGCACTCTGTTCAATTATGTAACTATTAATGATATTTTCAATGTGAAAAAAGCCACCTTTAAGACCCTGTCACCCCCATTATACACAGTGAAGTTTTCTATTCTAGTCAATCAGTCAAAGCCACTTCCTTGGAGACTAAGAAATTGCAACTGCAGAATTGCAACTCTGGCCAGGAAGAGCTTGTTCCAAGTTGCCTTTGGTTGACAATTCTACCCCCGCCCAGAAGCAAGCTGAAAAAACCTACTCAATCCACTGCCACATGCCTTTTGTGTCCAAAACACAATCAATGACGTTCTGAAATGACATACTGTCTCTCTAAGGTCTGATGATTTCTTCTTAGAAAGGCTGACAAAAGCTTATATGCATCCATGGGCATTTCTGCACTAGGCATAAAAATAACCTACAGAAATTACCATGGCCTTTAATTTTCCCACTCTATGCAGTTACATCCTAATATTCATTTCAAAGTATCTTAGTCAATACGTTTCAGTGTTGTCCTTATAGCTACTGTAGGATACTAGATCTGACCAAGTAATTTAGTGGCTGGTTCAAACTCTGATCTAGCTACTCTAGCTAATTAAAACAGACAACCCAGCTCCATTCTTTCAGTTAACATGAAATTAACAAGGTGTCAGAAGTTGAATAGCAGGCATTTATAATTACATTAACAGAGGTAAATCTGAATTAAAAGGATAAAAGGAGGTAAATCTGGATTTTTATTTTCCTTACAAATAACTTTAAAATTTGCCAAAAATAAAGGAGAGTTTAGCCTTAGACCAGTTATACTGCTATGCTATTAAGAACAACTATAACACCCCTGATTACCACAAAACAGTAGTTACATAAAATTCTATTTATTACTGAACAGATTGCAACCACTACATAGCAGTCTCCAAAAAATTTTTATTAGTTAGCATGCTAAGTTGGTAAAGTTATAAAAATAAACCATTACTCGATAATCAATTATTTTTTACCATACAGTTTTCTTCTTTGAAACAAAAAGAACATAGAAAAATATATTTTGTGGACATCCCACAAAGTATTAAACTCTGCTTTTGTTTCATTCTTGCAGGAAAAAAAAAAAAAAACCCATCTCCAAAATAAGCAAATATGGCCCAGGCAGCCTGTTCTTCCTTCCCTTAAACTGCAACATTCTATACACATTTATAGAAACTTAGTAAGGTCTGAACTGAGAAGGTCGGCCATCTGGAGGAGGTAGAGGAACTGGCAAAAATGGATACAAGTTGTACATGTTTGGGTCTGTGCAAATCATATTTGGATTTGAAGGCGGAAGGTGAAACTGATGCATCTCATTAATGGAACCAAAACCTGGAGGAGGAAAGGGATACTGTTGCATCAGATGATGTTCTTTTCTATGAGGCTGTGGAAACACTGGAGACTCCTGATGTATCCTGCTGTCTGAATGGTACGGATGTGGTGGTCTAGGAAATCCTGGGGGTCCTAATGGAGGAAGAAATGGATCCCCAGAGAATCTTTTGCCATGGTATCCTCTTGAATAACTTGAAGCAGGCTGTTGCATTGATTGATGAAGTCCTTTATACTCACCTTAAAAATAAAACACAAACACTTTAATAATATCTTTGAAAGTTTACAGTAGTCCTCACAAATCTTTCAAGATTCTCTTTCGTCTTCAAAAATGAACACAAATATGCAGCCTGTACTGAGAAATCCAGACACATCTCCATTAAAACCATGCAAATAGCTGAAAGTCAAGGAAATATGAAGAGAAACCTTTTCAAATACTACTGACAAATAAGATTAAAAAAAAGAAATACTGACAAGTCCACAGTTTAGTACCTCATCCTGATTTACTAAATAAATACAGAAAGAATGATCCTGAGGGTTGCAAATACAGTCATTAAAATGGACATTTCATGTCTTCTTCCACATGCTTTCCTCTTCATTAACAAATCAAGTGAACACTCAAACCACAAGTATTTTGAAGCCTCAGTTTAAAGCAAGAATTAGAAGTAGCACATTCTAAAACTGGAGATAAGTCAGTAGTCCTAATTTCATCTTGAGATTTTCAGATTTCCCTTCTGCCACAAAATGCTACTGAACTGCTTTTTGTCTTTCCATTCTGCTCCAAACTGTTATTGTACTGCTTTTTGTCAGGCTAGACCAGGCTCTGAGCAACCAGATCTAGCTGCAGGTGTCCCTGTTCACTGCAGAGGGCTTGGACTAGATGGCCTTTAAGGGTCTCTTCCAACTCAAACGATTCTTTTTATCCTATGATTCTATCACTTAACCAATATAAAGCATCTAAGTATAAAATTTTCAAGGATATGTAAGGAAATATGTTAAATTAGAACACATTATGCACATCAAAAGCCATATGCTTATAGCATTCTGTCCTTCTGCATAAAGTTATAGTTTAATACTAACTACTTAAGTAAAATGTCAAAAGTTATCCTAGCAACAACTTACTATTTAAAACATATCTAGGCAGACAAAATCATTTACCACCTATCAGGCCCTGCATCCCACTTTCTGACCTGAGTCAGTATTACAGCATAAAAGACATAAGAAATTATTTCAAGTCAAATTTAATGAAATTAACAAGTAAATTAATCTGGAAAAAAAAAAGAAGGCAGGCTGTAAATTAAGCCAATTAATTTTCAGCATTTGTCTTTTAAAGAATTTTCTTCCTATTGAAAGAGTCATGTAAGCATTTATTTAATGTTCATAATAGATGTACTGCTACTTGCTATTCCTGTTCTGTCTCCTAATGAAGGCTATAACAAGGAGCCAATATTCAGTTTTATGAAAACGCAAGAAAGCAAAACTCCAACTGTAACTGAGTTTATATTGCAACTTGCCAGCTGTCCTTGCAGCTGAATTCCACTGCCATAAGTAAACTGCAGACAAGTTTTAAAGCACATTATTTACAGAAAAACACAGCTAATCATAACCCATACTCCCTTGACATACTGAGACAGTTCCTCTTCTTGTTTTCTCACTCATGTAAGGTAGTTCACTAACAGCCTCAGAAAGCCCTGGGCAAAAGCAGCTCTGCAACAAATTTGCAGGATAGGAATGGTGAAAACTACACCAGATTCAATACAGAGAAGCATAAAGCAGGAGAGAAAATAACCATCAGAAATGAAGGGAACAAACTGTGCACAGAAGAAAGCAATTAACAAGGCAGTTGCTGACCTCCCAACTAAGGAGAAAAGGAATTCAGTGGGGGTACACTGTCTAGCAGTTGTACAAAGGAAAAACAGCAGAACCCTGATGGCAGGATCAGTCTGAGAAATATTGGTGGGGAAAAGCACACCAGAAATGAAGCAATCAGAAGCAGTAAGCCCATGTATGAGCAAAGCAACAGAGAAAGAAGAGAGGAGATGATGTGGATCAGTAGTATTTAAAAGGAGCAGTGCAGAAAACATAACAGAAGCAAATCAGTAAGACTAAAGAAAGAGCCATTTTTCAACCAAAATGAAATTCATAAAGATGTTTTCATCATTAGAGTGGCATGAGAAAAGACACTGGAAAATGTGGGTAGTGCAAACAGAACACAGCAGCAATTGCAGCCAGTCTGTCAATAGCTGGAGAAAGAAACACAGAGAAGACTGTGCAATAAAATGTATGGTTTTTCATAGATAAGCTTGTAATAGCTTCTACTGTCTAATGACTATGTCAAGTGAAAAGACAACTTATTTCTAAAGGAGATGTATTAATTAAAAAAAAAAAAAACCTTCTTTCAGATAAAAGAAGAAATTCCCCATTAGAGTTGTATCCACTCCCTGAAGCTCAAAAAAAAAAAAAAGTGACCAGGATTCCTCTATATTCTCCTTGCACTCAAAGACTTAGGATGAACTTGGACCACAATGATCTCTGCAATAATTGCAATAAGCTCTGCAATTTCCAAACTTCAAAAGGTGGTATCTGTTCTATACCCTCACTGTGTTAATTGATATTGTCTTCGTCTCTGCTGACAACCTTCCTGCTCTATACTGCTTCCCTTTCTCAATTTAATATTTAAAAAAAAAAAAACACTGCCATATTAAAAAAAATTAAGAAACGTAGCCACAAATTCATAAATACAACAACTTTGAAAAGAATAGAAACATTGATTAGCTGCAGAAAAGCTCAACATTTAAGGCAGATATCACTGTTTTTCAAACATCTTAAGAGATGAAAGCATTCCTCCATAGTATTCACTTACTTGATGCATTTGTATCTGTTTTGACTTTCTTCCTTCCTTGACTCGGTGGCTTCTTTTTCTTTTGTTTTGCCTCTCTTTCTTTTTCATCATCACTGAAGTCCAAAGCCTGGTTAAAAAATAAATAAAACAAAGGTATATAAAACAAACAAAAAAAATGCAAATCATTTCAGATATAAATCATTATTTAGAAAATAATCCATCCTGCAATCAGCTGAGAAGAATATTGGCATTGCACTTTCATATTGTGCATTCAAAGAGCCACCGTATTCAGCTGGCTTCTCAACACAATCAGAAACTCAGCATTCCACAAATACTCAGAAGGCAGTTACACAATTCACAATTATACCTTGCAATTTTCTTAAAAAGCAGTAATATTCACACACTGAACACTTGTGGTTTTTATTATCTTGAATGAAAAAGAACCTAAAAAATTCAAACAATTTTTCATGTACTCCTTCCACAGCTTACTGCTGAATGTGCAGTGAAGAATCTAGGGACATGCAGATAATTTAACAGAAATCTTCAAAAGATTCTATTTTACTCTTCAGAAGACATTCCAGTAAGGGATTTACATGGTTCTCACCAAAACTAAGGGGAAAAGAGCAGCAGCTGAGTGAATCTGGCTAGTAATTATCACTAAAAAGCTTGCAAGAGTGTGCAAGTTCACCTAAGTGTGGTGTAGGTGAATTATGGATTTCCCTAATAATTTATTTTTATGACAGCTGTTAGATTTATGACTCAGTTAAATTAAACTTCATTAAAACCAACAGAAAATACAGATATATTGACTAATAATATTGTTCCTGTTAAACTTTCATAAATAACATTATTCCCAAAGAATTCTAAGGTGAGAAGAATGTCATCATTTACAGCAATCCCACTGCAACTTTGTTCCTTTTATGTGAGGGTTTGCTTCCTTTAGAACAAGGACAAAGTTATTAATGTTAGGAAAGAACACTGTCAGTAACTAAAGAGCTCTTTTTAGTGATTTAAGGGGATAGGGCTTGTGCCCCTTACTTCCCCTAATTCTGAAAGGAAGAAGAAGCAGCAAAACTTATGTATTATTTTAGTACATTCAGAGCAGACACCAGAAATGGCACCGATAAAGCAGTGAAAAAAGCTACTTAGAAGTCAATTCTGAATACAACCATTTCCCCCTCTGTGTAATTAGATTCTACTCTACAAGGAATACAACGATATATACCATGAATCACAGAATGGCCAGGGTTGGAAGGGACCTCAAGGACCATGAAGCTCCAACCCCCTGCCACATGCAGGGCTGCCAACCTCCACATTTCATACCAGCCCAGGCTGCCCAGGGCCCCATCCAACCTGGCCTTGAACACCTCCAGGGATGGGGCATCCACAGCCTCTCTGGGCAGCTGTTCCAGCACCTCACCACTCTCTCTGTAAAGAACTTCTCCCTGACATCCAACCTAAATCTTCCCTCCCTCAACTTAAAACCATTTCCCCTTGTCCTGCTGTTATCTACCCTTTCAAAGAGTTGATTCCCCTCCTGTTTGTAGGCTCCCTTTAGGTACTGAAATGCTGCAAGGAGGTCACCCCACAGCCTTCTTTTCTCCTGGCTGAACAAGCCCAGCTCCCTCAGCTCTGTTTTTATGGGGAGGTGCTCCATTCCCCTGATCATCTTTGTGGTTCTCCTCTTGGACCCCTCCAATAGCATTTGTTAATTTCTATTTTAAAAAAGCTGCCAAGCATAAAAAACCTAAAACACATTAATTTAAGACTCATGCAAAAACAAACCTTTACAGCAAGACAATAAGAACCGACTCCAGCACTTACATGCAACTCATCAAGCGAGTCTGCCAGACAAGCTTTAGTACCAATTGCCAGCAGAAGGCTCTGAAAGAGTCTGGCTGCGTGAGACAATTTCAAGCATCAGTAGCATAAAATTTAATCTGCACCCTTGTCAACAGTTACTGTCTTCAAAGCAGAAGCTGCTTTCTATCATCTCATTAGCTGTCACAGTCTGCTTACCTTGCTGTAAACCGTAACTGCTAGAACTGCACAGAGTCTAAGGATTACAACATGTTAGATGTGTTTTCTACAAAACAGCACACATGGACAAAGGCAACACAAACACAAAGGTGTCACAAAAAGCAACTAAGTTGCCCATCCTTGCCATTACTGATTTCTTTCAAATCTTCTTCCTTTGTTCCTATAGTGAAGAACAATAATAAAGCTCCCCCAGTACTTTCAGGTTCTAATGCTCAAAGAGACCAGTATAACCTTACCCTTATCTGTAGAAGACTTGATTGTTTCACTATACACAGCCAATTTTTAAGTTACTCAGGTACCCATAAATTCAAGTAAGCATTTACATACTTATCTCATGAACAGCTTTAGAGGTATGACTAAGAAACAACAGAAGAAATCAAGTGGTATTTCAAGATCCATTGTACATCATTCTAGAAAAAACAACATTCTGGGATGTTGTGTGATGATGTATCAGTCTGTCATGTCTTCAAACGTTACTAAAGCTTGAAAGGCTTGAGCCACATCTCTCCTTCAAGCCAGAAAATATGGCCTGAGATAAGGACTGTAAATGCAGCATTGGTTAGGATATTAAGAAAAAGATCCCACCCAAAAAAACTAACAAAAAAATCCTTTCCTACTTTAGAGTTTAGATTAAGAAGCTCATATCAAACAACTACACAAACCATTCAAGCTTTCATAAATTTCAGAAAAATCAGCGAGGCAGATCTTTTCACAATACTGCTCAAGACAGTATTTTAGCTATTCTGGATATAGCAGTCTGAAAGTAGAAAATGCAGAGTAAAATAGTGCAAGCTTTGAGCCAGAAAACAATCTCATGAAAACACATCAATACGTTCCTATTAAAACAAAGAGTAGTCATGAGGAGTATAGTTTTAGTGGAATTAAGGAGCAGTGGACAGAAAGCCTGAGTGCCACTGAAGAAAACTTTAAGAGATTCTCCAGTAAGTGATGTCATACAATGGTCATGAGAAACCCCCACTTCTATGGAAGAAGCTCAGATCTCAGGAAGCTAGCATTTAATAGTAAGAAACAGTAAAGAAACCTCATCAAGGAGACATTCAAATAAAACAACAGAAGAGGTGTTAAATTAAGAGATCAACATCCAACACTGCAGGGCATTAGGAAACCTTTAAATACAGACAATTGTTTACTTGCAAGATCAAGTAAATGCAGTAAAAGAACAGCAAGTACAAAAAGTCCCTAGCAGAAATACAAATATTAGGCAAGATAGAAGCAGTGCTACTCAAAGTTGGTCATTTAGATTGACAAACACACTCCCAAAGAAATGGAGGTACTGAAAACATATATTCTTTATTGCAAAAAGCAAGTTAAAAAAGAGGACAAGATCTATCTACAGCAATTGGTGGGCCTCTCTAACAAAAGCAGATTCACTTAACAATGAAGAAAAGAACAAGCATTAGTTACTCTGCAAAGAAATGTCTTTATTTTCTGCAATCAAAAACAATTTTTTTAAAAAAGAATTGTTACCTCAGGTGGTGGTTCTTGGTCATTCTTCCAAGATGCATCCGACCCTTTTTCCCTAAAAGAAAAAAAAGACAATCATTTTATTTGTAAAGAAAGATTAACTTACGTGTTATCTTAGAACTTCACTACATACACCACTTGAAAAACCTTTCTCTTCTGGGTGGACTGAACATATTACACAGCTAATATTAAGCTCTGACTTATGTCAGCTTTCTTGCCCAACAACCACCAAAACAAATTTTGTTGTAGTACCATTTTTTTCCCATCCACCACTTCAAGATAAAGCTGCTTACAGTGAGAGCTAAAGGTGCACGAGCAGGGTTGGTCTCTTCTCACTGGTGACAAGATGAGGAGAAATGGCCTCACGTTGTGCCAGGGTAAGTTTAGGTTGGATATGAGGAAACACTTGTTTACAGCAAGGGTTGTTAAACACTGGAATAGACTCCCCAGGGAAGTGGTTGAGTCACCATCCCTGGATGTGTTTAAAAACCATTTGGATGTGGTGCTCAGGGATATGATTTAGCAGAGGGTTGTTAGGGTAGTATGGTTAGGTTGCAGTTGCACTTGATGAACCTGAGCAATTCTATGATTCTAAGAACTCCATCAAAAAAATCAAATAACTTCTTTGATCAATAGCAACTTTATGGAACAAGTTCAAATCATGCTGTTCAAGTCTGCAGAATACACTTCTCCCAAATTTAATATATTTGGTCTGAAAGGTTAAGACAATCCTTATTCATGCAAAGTATATAAAATCATGAAATGGAGAAAATTATTACTTGCAAAATGGAACCAAACACTTATAAGGTGTTTTATGTTATCAGCACTCTAATTGCCAAGGGTTGTTGTGTACTCAACAAGTTAGAATCAGCCAAGCAGCAACATCAAAGTACAGGGCAGCCAACGACAGCAGGCAGCCTTGTGCCTTAAGCCCTAAAACTAAAGCTCAATCTTTATGCATCACCAGAAAAACCATGAAAACTGCACTTTTGTCATTATCAGCAAATCCTGGAATGCAAACCATTTTCAAGTTCAATTAATAGGAATTGTTACAGGAAAGGCAGGATAATAAGAGCTCTCTATACAATTACTTCCTTCTAGCTTGCAGAAAACACTCTACTTAGGCAATAAATACATTGCTTCTCCTCATTAAGAACAAGCCTCTTTGTTTCTCCCTCTCATCTTGTTATTTCAGGGTAATAAACACCTTCCAGAAATACCAGAGCATGCATAAGACTCCAAAACCTGTCATCATTAGGCACTATGCAAGATTCAGTTTTTGAAGTTAGTAGTCTTAAGCTTAGGCTGTCTGATGAATGGTTATTTCAAGTCTGCCAAATCATCCCTCACTATTTTAGCAAAATAAACATTTTTCATGCTTTGAGATATTTAACTACCTCTTGCAAATAATAGTACATCTTAGATTTCTGAATTCAGATACTTTTAAGATCTGAAAACCTAAAAGGTGGCTTAGAGGAATCATGGAAATACACGAGACTGTTTAGAATTATTCCATGTTTCAGGCAATACAGGCAAAACCCAACAGTTTTTAGCAACGTATTACGTTGCATTCAAGAAGTTTTATACTACCCACTGAATAATGACACTTCCATCTATTTTACTGTAAAGTCTAAAGCTTATTCACGTCAATGCAACTTTGTGCAACGCAAGCAGACTGCATGCCAGATCTCAAAAATGCTTCAAATATAAGGTGTATTTCAGATCTTAATCCTAATTACTTCCCTTTTCAAGGTACCATCGCAGTTTTGGGGAGCATTTAAAAAACTTTAAGCTCATCTACAGAGTCCAGAAAAGTAACAAAAAGCAGACATCCAAGTCACCAAATTCGCAGTCTATTAAGGTCCAACAGCCCTACTGTGTGGCACTGACTGAAGCTCAACTTTCCTATTGTCTGTGTCATCTTGGTTTCTTTATGCAGATACCATAGTAGAGATAAGACATGAAAATCGTTCATCATTTCCCACTTGACATGACCAACCCTCCCTGCCTTGTGAAAAGGTAGCTTCAACAAGATGTACCAATCATGTCACAAAAGCTTAAGAACCTTCCCTGAGAAAAATCAGGAATTAAAGAAAAACAATAATCCATGAAATATAATATTGCAGACCAATACTGACACTACTCACTTTTAATGCAAGGCAAGAAACAAAGTCTGGCACACAATTCAGTTGCCAATAAGATGTGAAAGTGCAAAAACTCTTAGCTAGTGTTCAATTTTGTATCATACATGAGAGAAAAGTTCTACTGAAAGACAAACAGCTCCCAAAACTACTTGCAAAGCATGCAAACTAAAACACAAGTCAGCCATCTCATATGCTGAGTACGGACTTCAGTTATAGATGCAGAAAGCAGATGCCTGAAGAGTGTGCAGTTACTGTGCTAAGCAACAAAGTTTAGCAGCACAAATCAAAGACCAGCTGGCATCAAACTCTGCAGAAAAAGCAAAGCAGCAGCACAGTGAGAAAATTATCTTGGTATTCACTAAAAGTGAAAAAATAAAGTTTAAAAACCTGTTGCTTCCACAGGGGAAAAATAAACAACAAAAAGACTCCTGCAGATACTCAAGTCGCAACTAATACAGACAACAAGTATTACTTTTTTCTTTTTATGAAATAAGAGGTCAGATGAGAAATAATACTAAAAGAGACTAAGTCACGTGTGACAGATTTTCAAAGTATAGTTGTTTCAGGCAATTCATCAATAATTAAGATAATTAATGTTCAGCAGTCCATTATCACACCTTATTTCTTAATCCTTACGTTTCAGTCCTTTACCGTTTGAATGGCAACAAGTCCTATTATTATACAGTCAATGGATAAAAGAAGAACAACTGACATCTACCTGGACTTGTGCGAAGCATTTAACACTGTCCTACATGACATCCTGGTCACAAATTGGAGAAAAATGGATTTGATGGATAGACCACTTACTAGATAAGAAATCGGTTGTATGGTCACTCTCAGTGTTGTGATCAATGGCTCAAAGTCCAACTAAAGACTGCTGATGAGTGGCATTTCTCATGGATCAATGTTACTTAACATCTTTGTAGGCAATGTGCACAGTGGGATCAAATGCACCCTCAGCAGATTTGCCACCAAGCTGAGTGGTGTAGTTGACAGGCTAGAGGGAAGGGATGCCATCCAGAGAGACCTGGGGGATTGGACTCAATGATCTCTGGAGGTCCCTTCCAACCCCTATGATTCTGTGATTCTGTAACAGGAAGAGTATAAAGCTTGCCAAAGATTACACAGGAAGCCCAAAATCAAATTAGGGTCTTGCAAGATCTTTGCAGCTGACAAAGTGATTACACTGTTCTCTTATATCAAGATACCTGGACAGGCTGGAGAGGTGGGTCCATGCCAACCTCATGATGTTCAACAAGGACAAGTTCAAGGTCCTACACCTGGGTAGGGGCCTACAGGAAAGCCAGGGAGGGACCTTTTATAAGAGCACATACCAATGAGATGAGGGAAAATAGCTTTAAATGGAAGACGATAGATTTAGACTAGATATTAGGAAGAAAGTTCTACTGTGAGGGTGGTGAGAAACTGGAATAGGTTGCCTATCAAGGTTGTAGATGCCCCTTCCTTGCATGGGGCTGTGAACAACCTGATCTTGTGGGAGGTGCCCCTGCCTACAGCAGGGGTTGGAACTAAGCGATCTTAAAGGGCCCTTCCCAACATAAACCACTGAATAATTCTATTAGCCTCAGGCAGACAAATACTATTGGTTTTAAGTTGAAGAAAGGAAGATTTAGGTTGGATGTCAGGGGGAAGTTCTTTACTATGTGAGTGGTGAGGTGCTGGAACAGCTGCCCAGAGAGGCTGTGGATGCCCCGTCCATCCCTGGAGGCGTTCAAGGCCAGTTGGATAGGGCCCTGGGCAGCCTGGGCTGGTATTAAATGTGGAGGTTGGTGGCCCTGCATGTGGCAGGGGGTTGGAGATTCATCATCCTTGAGGTCCCTTCCAACCCTGGCCATTCTGTGATTCTGTGATATTGAGAAGTTTCTGATCATCATCCCCCCCCCCAAAAAAAAAACACCACCAAATTGACAGCAAGCCATTTCCAGACAGAAGAGATTTTTTTTTAATAATTAACTTTCAGCTCTGGCCTTGTAATTGAAAATAGTAAATACCAGCTTGTTCAGCATTCACACAAGTTTATAATAAGTTATTAAACCACATTAAGCTACTAAATCTCTTAGCAACAAAATGCAAGAGAGTTCATCTTGTCAAATTCATCCAGAGGTTGCAAGCATGAAACTATTTTTTGTTCTTGTAAAAAACAATCTAATTTTGGTTATGGTATTTATAAAAGAAAAAAATAAAAATTAAGTATTAAATTGAATCAAAAGCTATCAATCCTCATTAATTGTAATGCTTTAGAAGCTTGCAGTCGTTCTGTACTTTATGAAAATCAGAACTGTACAATCCTGTTATTACAACACAGTTGAGAATAACTAAAAATGTTAGCGAAGTCCTACAGTTTCTCACTCAAGCTTAACTATTCATAATTTTCAGCTATATTAAGAAATACATTAAGAAATATTTTATAAGAAGATTATAAAAGTCAGACTCACTGTTGTAGTTTCTCTGCAAATATGTACTGGGTGAAGTCCTCCACTGATGGAGCAAAGTACATGCTGTCTTGCACATTAATACCTTTTGCTTTAATATGTTCAGCACTGTTAAACCTTAACACATAAAAGGGATGTTGAACAGGACCAAACACCTCAAACACCTGAAACACAAAATTTAAGTAAATGACCACGTGAGATGAGCATCTCACTGCACACAACTCCAAATCTTTAAGACACTTTGTATTTAGGAATTCAGAGGTGTTTTTAAATTGCAGCAAATAAAGTTACCCTCATGTTGTACCTTTATTACTACATTTGTTTGGCAATGTATTTCCCTAGCTACTGTGAGTCATAACTTGGAAAGTTTTTTCATGTTGATTTCACCTTCACCCACCCAAATACATCAACTTCCTTTACTTCAGTCATCATTACCTTTGTTAGCTCCCCTGATTTTCTCTCTCCATTTTGCTTTCAAATCTGAACAGCTCAATAACCTTCTCATTGTTTATTTCTAAAATTTCATCTCTACAAGATGCCTTTATGTTAGTTCCAATGTCCATTCTGTCACTCCATGGAGAGAATTTTGAACAGATATTGCGTTGAACACCTGCAATTTCATACTAGATTTTTCTGTGTTCCACTCAAATCTAGCTAGACAGATGTTATGGTAGTGATAGTTCCACACGATGGCTTTCTTTCTACAGAAAATATACAAAATTCAAAGCAACACTGTTCTCTGCAAACATTCTTCATCAGTCACATAAAGCACGTGTGGGTCTAAGACTACAACATCAGAGCACAGCTACGCAAACATTCCCCACGTTTCCTAAAACTCAATAAAAATTCTCCTGGCAATAAAAGAACACAGCTTATTATTAAAGGTATCTAGTACCTAAAACCACAAGCATGTTCATCAAATGGCAGAAATTCAACACACTGTAATTCCAGAGGGGTGCAATTAATTCCAAGACAGAATTCTTGAAGTTAAGAAATGTAAATGATGCTAACAAGAGTCAAAACCACAAGGAGAAACTGTGTATCAAGGAAACATTACATTTAGATGACTTGGACAGTATTTGTTGAAACATAATAGCTTGAATTTAACACTAGAACAACAGGTCATTATGCTTTACACACACACACACCTTTCCTGCTGCTTGTCGATCTTCTTTAAAAATTATGCTTTCCTCATTTATTGGAGGTAGGCCTCTCAGAGATTCAATTATTACTAAAATGGAAAACAAAATCAAATAAAACTTTAAGTTGCAACAGAGTATGCAGTTAATTGCAGGGAAATAAAACAAATCACACAATTATTTATAAAGCAAACATACCATAGAATCATAGAACGGCCTGGGCCTGAAAAGGACCACAATGCTTATCTAGTTTCAACCCCCCCCACCCTGCTATGTGCAGGGTCACCAAACACCAGACCAGGCTGCCCAGAGCCACATCCAGCCTAGCCTTGAATGCCTCCAGGGTTGGGGCATCCACAACCTCCTGTTCCAGAGTGTCCCACCCTCTGTGTGAAAATCATCAGCGCTTTTCCTAGAAATTCTTGTCCAGTCACTAAAAGACTTACAATCATTAAGTCCTTCCCCTGTGATGTGTGACAAAGTTTGCACAAGTTTACAGAATTACTGCTCTCCAGAGATGAATACAGGAGACCAGATGCTTGAGACTTCCTTTTTTGCACCTAACATTTTTGTGAAATACCTGTTGCATTTCCCCAGGTTGTTTCTTAACTGAGTGCACAGCAATTTTTTCTATCTTAAATCATACGAACATGTAAGCATTCTTCTGCCCTCTTAATATTCTCCCCAGAAAAAAGAATAGCTATTTATCCTCCTACTAACTAACATAAAGCAGACAAGAACACAGAAGATGTCTAGCAAACCAGTCACAGTAGCATTATTTGTGTGTGCAGACACACAGTTTGAAATTTTGCACTTTCAGGTCACATAATAGATCCATACTACATTTGGGCTCAATTCATGATAAATGATGGTATGAGCAGCCAGAAGTTGTTTCAGTACCTCAAAAAATGAAACATCTGTGAGACTTGAACATTTAACAAAGAGACACAGAAGTACACTCTTCCTGTATTAGTAAATAATTTGATCCTTTTTCTGTTTTCCAGACTCAAAGGGCCTGTTCCTTAAAGAAACTTTTAGAATCATTTACTCTCACCTGTTTTCTGCTTATTTTTTTGCATTAGGCAACAGAAATATTCAGTCTTGACTTTCAGCAGCAATTAAAGATGTCAAGAGAAACAGCAGCATTAAACTCAATTCTGATTCTGAAGGTAATCTTCTCCACCCTAAAACATAATGCTCAATTAAGCATTCTCAATGCCTCTCAATCAAAGTCATTCAAGCACTGTGTCAACATAAGACTTTATCAAAAGCTAACAAAATTCTCTCTTCTAAACTTACTTAATAGAATTTACAAGAATTAAATGCTTCTCCAAGCTATGCTCTTCAAGTTCTGCTGCAATTTAAATCTGCAGACATCTTGTGACGTGCCAAGCAGCAATGCTACACACTTAACAGTTCACTGAATGTAGGCAGTGAGGGAAATACACAGTGAAAGAACTGAGTGTGTTGCTTAATCCCCACTGGGAATATACCTGAGCAATAGTCCAGCAACACAGACTCACAGAATGGTTTGGGTTGGAAGGACCTTTAATATCATCTAGTTCCAATCCCCTGCTATAGGCAGGGACACCTCCCTCCAGGACCAGGTTGCTTAAAGCCCCATCCAACCTGACACTGAACGCTTCCAAGGAGGAAGCATCCTCAACATCACTGGGCAACCTGTTCCTTTGTCTCAGCACCCTCACAGTAAAGGATTTCTTCCTAATATCTAGTTTAAATATATCTTCTTCCAGTTCAAAGCTATTTCCCCTGTTGTTATCTGTACTTACAAGTAGTCCCCAACTTTCCTAACTATTGCTTCAGCAGAAAGCCATCTTTACTATGAATTAGTAAGGAAGGACAAGTAGAAAAACAGGACAATCAATGAAGAAACCCCCTTCCTCAGCCAGCTTCTAGTACATGAATGAGATTAAACCTAAACCAACGCAGCAGAAAATTGTTGTCAAGGAATTGCTTGTATTACCTAGAGTCTTTTATGAAAAAAGGAATTTTAACACCAAATGTTATTTACTTCAATTTGTTTCCTACTCAGTATAACTGCACTGTTTCTAAACTCACTTCATATGCAAACTGCTTTAACAGCAATTCAAGCAGCACAGAGCACTGCAAAGAAGTTTAAGACAAATACAGTATGGAAGTTTTAACAATATCAACTTCTGCAAATCTTATTTCACCCACCACATAAAGGCCATCCAACTAAAGGAGTATTCAACACAAATGCCGTTCGGTATCCTGTCTTTAGACCTGTTCTCATTCAATAATCTGCTGCCCCTTACCTGAATAAGGACACAGAATCAACAGAAAGGTTTAGCAGCACTGTGAAACAGAACGCAGCAGTACTGAAACTTTGGGGTACGAGTAAAGATAAACAAGAAATATTTTAATTATTTAAAAAAAAAAAAAAAACAACACTTAGTTCAACATATCTTGCCTACCTAGCTGCTCAATGATACTGGAAACTGTCCCAAAAGGCTTCAGTTCAACATTATCAGGCAGAATTACGGTTAAATCTTCAACAGGAGGCAGTTCCTGAAAACATCAAGTCATTATTCAGTATAAAGCCACACACTCACCACTGAAATAGAGCAAGAGATTGAACTGTTAACCACACTATGTGTCTGAACTAGTGCAAAAGTGCACATTTAATCAGTTTTTTCTTCCCCAGACAATTTAAAAGTATACAAATTGCTTGAAGTTGAGTTACTAGAGGAGCGTTTAAAAAGACACCGCTGTTTACTTACATCAAGGGGCAACTCATCTTTTGTTCTAACGCAGCACGTTCTGTTATCCTTCTCGTTTGGATGATCATCATCATCAGACACTGCCGAAGGAGAGCACGAAGAGGACGACGTAGTTGACGAACTATCCGAATCCGTATCACTGAATAGAAGAAAAAAAAAAAATGGAGTTAACATACAGGCTCCTATATTAAAATGCTGCTAGATTATAGCTTTGAGCAGCACACAGCTTTCTTAAACGCATCTGTATGCAGAAGAGATCTTCCTCCCATCCTAACAAAGCCGCTGGACGACACCATAGAAAAGCAGTGCTCGGTTTAAACCCACCTCTCTGAGTCCGAGGCGGCGGCGTGCGGCTCGCTGCGAGCCTCTGCGGGCGGCGGCGTGCGAGGGCGCGCTCCCTCAGCGGACGGCTCCCCCTCAGCGGACGGCTCCCCCTCAGCGGACGGCTCCCCCTCAGCGGACGGCTCCCCCTCAGCGGACGGCGCCTCGCCGGCAGAGCCGGGCTCCACCGTCAGGGTCTGTAGCCGCACCACCACCTCCTGCTGCTCCGCCATTACCGCACCCCACGCGGCTTCCGGCCTTTGAGGGGCAGGGCGCATGCGCGGGAAACGTGCGCGCCTTCGCTTCCCTTTGAGTTCAAGGCTGGTAGTGAAGGTGCAGAGTTTTAGGTTAATTTTACTTCAGTGCGGGGTTAAATTGAAGGAGCTAAGGTTTTTGCTTGCGTGAGGCTTCTCCAAAAGGCAAAGCTGGCGTTCCTCTGCATGGGAGCTCTCTGTGGACACAGTGGGCTGTAAGATGTCACAGTGCTGACAGCATACAGAAAGCACGCATGTGATTAAAAATAAAAAAATAAAAATAAAAAAAAAGCCTACTAAAAGCTAGTAATCTCGAACTATCATAACACCCAGCTCTATTATAGCAACCCTGTAATTATATCTACCTCCACAACACCAATCCGCATGCTTAATGTCATCAAAACATTCACCACCATGTGAAGGCTTCTGCTCTAGGTTTGCCATAAATGCCACTGTTCTGGGCCCTGAGAGTGTTCTGGTGTCTGTCAGATCCCTCACACAACTTGCCAGGGGATCCCACACCAGGGGTCACTTTTTGACATGCAATGATCCAGAAAACAAGCAGCTTTCCTGTAGGAAAGGAGAAATTCCTCCTGCCCTCGCCAAGCTTAAGGGAGAGCTATTGAGAGCTCTCCACCATGACAGTGACTCAGGAGACAAAACATATGCCTTATGTTGAGCATCCATGGCAAAAAAAAAATAAAAATAAATTAAAAAAAATTTTAAAAGCCTGAAAAAACTGCTGTGGTCTGGCTTCCGAACAGAGCTAACGGTGTTTTCACTCCCAGTGAATGAATGAATGGCAGAGTGCAAAATAATTCTAAAGAGGAAGATCATAAGTAAAAACTTAAGATATTACATGGTGAGACCGCAAAAAAACCCACAACCATCAGGATTTGAATGTATGGTGAGAGGCAGAGGAGGGAGCAATACATTTCCCAATTCAGAAATTCCATGTAATAAACTTCCCCTCCAGCTTCACATAGAGTGCACTCAAACACTTGCTTCTCCTCCAGACTGTCTGGGCAATGTTTAATAAAGAGTTAGAAGTGTGCTTCACAAATACACCAGGCAGGCTGAAATGAGCATCTGCCAGAAAATAGATCTCTTTTTCTGATTGTTCCATTCTTTATTCACGGTGTGTAAGAGCAGATGCCATGTGAGTTTAGTAGGAAAATTAAGCATCTATATATGAGTGTGTTTTTACTTACGGCTACCTAAAATAATACATAGGCTAAGCAGGATAGACATTTTAAGAACAGTTTCCACAAGAAGATTAACATGACAAGCACCTAGTATTTTTTTGTACTGTATTAAGCAAGGAGCCTGTATAAAGAAATGTATAAACAGTGGGCAGAAGTAAACTCTCTCATTGCACAATTACTCAGAATACCTTGGTTAGGAATTGCAACGCTATAATGTGATGGAAAGTACTGCAATAGTAGCAGGGTGACAAAGCCTTCAGTTGCAGCAAATAAGAAGAAAACCAAATGCAGCAGCCACAGAACACAGAAATACAGGAAAAGAACTGCTAACCTGTGGAAGGCCTCTAGAAAGCAGAAGTCTCCAGCAACATACCCTTGCCTCCCCTGCCAACCTTAAATAAGATTTGGAAAGAAGTGGATTCTGGCTCCAGCCTTTCCAGTCACTCAGATGCATGCACCTGAGCTCCCCTGGGTTGGCCCTGCCTTCCCACCAGGTGCTCTGTCACCGTTTCAGGCCATGACTTAGCATTTCTGCTACGGAAATCTTTTCCAGTGACTACATTGAGGTCCTGAAGTATGTAAAGCATATAGTCTAAATATCACTGCCCTGAACTGTATGCTCTATAATAAAAAGGATCTATGGAAAATCATGCAAGGATGATGCACAAGAATTAAATATTGCACATTCATAAAATTGTTTTATATTGAATCTCAGTGGCAAATGTGTTCGCATCCCTGATAAAGTGAGTATGAATATATAAAAGCAGAGGCAGAAACCTAGTAAAACCCAATGCCACAAAAATCAATCCTGTAGTAATTTAATTTTAAAATAAAGGAAGGGAAGATTATTATTATTTTGAGAGGGTTTAAAATTTGTTTTCTTCGCTTTTCAGAACTGAGACTGGAGAGTTACTTGAAGTCAGCTTTTGTGGAGGATTTGTGAGTTTCTGTGAGGAAGTTGGTCAGTGTGGCTGGGAGGGAGTTATTTCCCAAAGCAGACAAAGTTTTATATACATCAAATCATTTCCTAGCAAAAGGTTTAATAATTGGTGTTAATATGGGACAGGTGTAGTTGAGTAATGAAAATTAATTTTATCTGCTGAATATGAACTTCTTATCAATGCAAAAGCATATTCAAAGTTGTATTTCTACTTGCCCTTATATAAGTAAAATCATTCAACTGTCACAGTTTGTCTTTCCTGCTTTTTAAAGTGTTTTAGTTAAGTGTTTTGTAGTTGTACACTGGCAACTAGATTGTGTTTTGACAGTTCCCTCCATATTCATGCAGAACTCACCGCATTTTTCCATCAAGAAGATACTTCATTTCTTCTAAACACTACAGCTTAGCCTCTATCATCTCAGATAGCATTTATGTTACAATGAGGGTAGTGAACATGATGTATGGTAAACATCATCATCCTTTCAACCAGAATATTTTTAAGTAATCTTTGATGTAGCAACACAAGCATGAAAATCTTCTGTGAAAAGAACAATCTCATAGATGAACGCTTGAATCGCAGTAGCAGTAAAACTAATTTTCTAGATTTAGACAGTTAAGAAATATTACTGCTAGGAGTGGAATTCAACATCAGCTGTCAAGGCAGGGCTAAACACGACTGTAGACCTGTTTTCTGCCTGCAGTTTCTTTGATGAAGCTCTCTGGAGGTGTTGTTTTCTAGATTTGTTTGATAGATTCCCGCTGCTAAGACAGATGTGTATAATTGTCTCCATCAGACTTTTAAAGCTAAAATGACACCACTCAAATTATTATTATGTGTTACTAAATTTTCTTGGTTGCAGTTGAGGAATCAGTTAAAAAATATAGCTTATTCTAGTCAATTATGCACAGAGATTAAATGCAGTATATGAACACTGTACTTCAATTAATAGAGAGAGTAAATTTAAAAAACACTTCTGAAAATATTTTTTCCTAATTTTTAGGTCAATTTATTTAGGTCATCTGGCATTATTTTGTGCAAAATTAAATTCAGTGTTTCATCACTATAATCAGCTACTTAGATCTTCCTTGAGATTCTTGTGTCAACTAAGAATTAGACTTTTCTAACAAAATATGAAGCAAGAAAAAGAAATATTGTTTCAAAGCTGTATCAGAACAGAATCTGCAAGTGAGTTATAACAGTCCTGATGGTTTCATCTTCCATATACTCTTCCTTTTCTTATTACCTCCCAGTTTACCTCTCACCCAACTGTCGCTTTATTAACTGAAGCTGCAGTCTGAATACAATGCTCTGAATACAATCTCTGAAAAACATGAGGCCTGGGAATTCTGTCTACACATTCAGAGATGGTGTAGGAATGGATTAAAATATATAATTTTGTTTCCTTCTTACCAAATATCCTGGGGGTGGGTCAGAGGAAACCCTTCAGACAATCATTTCTTCTTCTGATTACTCATCACTGTTTTGGGTCAAGAGATGTCTGAAATTCTGTTAGCATTGATTCGAGTACAAACTTGCACTGAAGAACGGAATCGCGTCACCAAACATGCTTTCATATAGGCAAATGTTAAAAAAAAGACTTTGGCCTTTTCATTAGGACTGGTCAGAGCAGAATGTACTGCTCCTTCAAAGGATGTGAGTACATACAGCTTGTCAGCTCTCCAGCTTAGAGGTCAGTCCCTCTGCAGATATAGGGAGAAAAGAGAGACGGAGAACGCATGAATTTGATGAGTACAGAAATAATGGTACTGGGAAAAGCATTTGATATTCATAAAACTCAGCTACAGTAGGGCTTTTTGCCACTATATCAAAAAATCACATCCATATGTGTATTTGCTTCAAGTTGCTCCTTAGATTATCCCCAAGTGGTCCAGAGCAAAAGGGTGGCACTTCACATAACTCCTTACAATGCTTACCTTTTTAAATTGATAAAGGAAAGAAAATTGTTCTTATAGTCCCTGAAATTGCTTTCATTCTTTCCTACAAAAATAGGTACCTACATGAGCTGAATGCCTTGTAAAATGACCAGCAATTTTGAGAGCTGACATTTGAATTGTCACACTGACATCTGCGAGTAATTACTCCAGGGAACTCAACAGATCACTTTGAAACTTCCTTGTAATTCTGTTTGCAGACTCAAAAAAAAAAAAAAAAAAACCCTCAGAAAACTATTTTTTTGCTGTTACAAGAAATAGTCTTAAGCTGCATGTGGACTCCATCCTTTGCAGGACTGACAACTGACTAACCTACTATATCTCTTACTAAACAAGGTCAGAAAGAAATGACAGTTTCTAGTTTCTCTTGTACTGGACGTCCTTGGTAATACAACCATATAATACATGCCAACTTGCAGGGAAGGTTCTATCCGAGAATGATTGGCTGCTCTTACGGAAGACAGGATATTCATCATTTCTGGTAGCAATGACTGTAGAGCCTGTTTGCCATGATATATTCATGTTGTTTCTTATATATAGTCAATTTTTAAAGGGAAAGTGCAGCCTTAGATTTGCAACAATTTTGAAAATACTGCTCAAATCTCAGCATTTTTTTCATCCATGAGTTAAACTACTGCAAGGGAGGTTGATCCTGATCAGGAACAGTGGAAGGAGAAGAAATCAGATTAACAGAACTTTCTGTATCACTGTTGCTAGTTGCATTTAATTCCATTCAGGTGAATCAATACAGTAGCTTGCACAGCTGAGATATTTTGTTCTGAAGGAAGATTAAAGTAGTTATAGTATAGAATGATTTACTCACCTCAGAGTTTCAAATTACTGTACAGATTTAACACAAACTCTTTACTTTTGTGTAAAGCTATAACAAGATGAAAAGAGGCAATGATTTCTAAGCATATCATATTTTTCCCAAATAATGTATTTTTAAATATGGAAAAATACACAACTTCATCTTATAGTCCTATATTCTTCTTTTACTTTATTCTTCCAAATATAACCAGTAATTTTCTGATAATTGAGCTGTCCACAGTCAATTTCATCAATAGCAATTCAAATCCATTCACTAATGGGGCTGACTGCATCACCTCCAGTTATTCTCTTAAGAGTTTGTGCAATTCATTTG